GTGTATTAATTAATGGCAGTTTATAACAGGAGGATTAATTGGTGCTTATGGGAGGGAGTGTTAATTAAGACTTAGTTATAATGGGGACAGGATTAATTAATACATGGTTATCATGGGAAAGCGTTAATTAATACCTGCTTATAACAAGGGGGGGTTAGTTAATATCTTTTTGTAATAAGGAGGGGATTAATTAATGCTTGTTTATATGAAGGGAGATTAATTAATGCCTGATTATAACAAGGAGGGATTAATTTGGGCTCATTTATAATGAGGACGTGTGAATGGGGGGGATTAATTAGTGCCTGGTTGTAACAAAGCGGCTTAATTGATGCTTGTTTATAATGGGAAGGTTAATTAATGCCTGTTTATTATGAGGGAGAGTTAATAGTTCATTATAATGAGAGCAGTTAATTAATTAATAGGTGTTTATAGTGGGAGGGGACTGAATAGAACTGGATTTTGAAACTATCAATGAATATTTATAGCAAGGGTGGGTTAATTCATGCTACTTAATAATGAGGAGGGGGCTAATTAGTACTTAATGAGGGGATGGATGAGGGAAGGGGTTAATTAGTACTTAATTAGTGCATGGGGGGGGGGGACCCCAGCCTCATTTGGGGACAAAATGAAGGAAACCCCCAAGTTTCCTGGAGTGAAAGTGGGGGGAATGTCACCTCTCCCCGTGGAGGACCTGGTCTTTTGGTGGGATGTGAGGTTAATTAGTGCTTAATGAGTGGATGGAGGGTTAATTAGTGCTTAATTAGTGCATGGGGGGGTGACCTCAGCTTCAGTTTGGGTCAAAACCCCCAAGTTTCCTGGAGTGAAAGTGGGGGGGGGGTGTCACCTTCACCCTTTTGTCACCTTTCCCAGTTAGGGACCTGGTCTTCTGCTGGGATGTGAGGTTAATTTGTGCTTAATGAGTGGATGGGGAAGTTAATTAGTGCTTAATTAATGCATGGGGGGGGTGATCCAAGCTTCAGTTTGGGCCAAAACAGGAAACCCCCAAGTTTCCTGGAGTGAAAGTGGGGGGGTGTCACCCTCTTTGTCACCTCCCTTCATGGGGTACCTGGTCCTCTGGTGGGATATGAGACTCATTAGTGTTTAATGAGCGGATGGAGGGTTAATTAGTGCTTAATTAGTGCATGGGGGGGGTGATCCCAGCTTCAGTTGGGGCCAAAACAAAGGAAACCTCCAAGTTCCCTGGAGCCAAAGGCAGGGGTGTCACCCTCACCTCTTTGTCACCTCCCCCAGTGAGGGACCTGGTCTTTTGGTGTGATATGAGACTCATTAGTGTTTAATGAGTGCATGGAGAGTTAATTAGTCCTTAATTAGTGCATGGGGAGGGGTGGCCAAAGCTTCAGTTTGGGCCAAAATGAAGGAAACCCCCGAGTTTCTGGGAGCCAAAGCGCGTTGGGTCGGGGTGGATTGGGGTGGGTTATGGTGGGGTGGGGTGGGCCCATCTGGGGGTGTCCCCCTCACCTCTTTGTCCCCTCTTTGTCCCCTCCAGTGCGGGACCTGCTGTTGTGGAGGGACGTGAGGAGGACGGGGGTGGCTTTTGGTGCCACCCTCCTGCTCCTGCTGTCCCTGGCCACCCTCAGCGCCGTCACTGTCCTGGCCCACCTGGGCCTGGCGCTGCTCTCGGTCACCATCAGCCTCAGGGTCTACAAGGCCGTGGTGCAGGCGGTGCAGAAGGCAGAGGAGGGACACCCCTTCCGGTGAGGAACACGTTTTTGGGGGGGTCCCCTGCTTTTTTGGGGGGGTTTCAAGGGGGTTTGGGGATGTCCAACCCTTCTCCGGTGCCACCAGGGGATGGGGATGCGCTCAGTGGTTCAGTCACTGTGGGATGGTTGAGGGTTTTGGGGGGTATTCAGGGTGTTGGGGGGGATTTTGGGGTGTGAGGGAGGATTTTGGGGTTCCCCCCTTGTTTTGGGGGACCCCAGCTGGGTTTGAGAACGATCTGGGGGGTCGGGGATGTGTCCCCCCTCTCTGGTGTCACCAGGGGACTGGGATGCACTCAGTGATTCAGTCACCGTGGGATGGGTGAAGGTTTTGGGGTTCAAGGGGGGATTTAGGGGTTC